CACGCCCCCCCCACCCACCCTTGGCACATGGACAAGCTGCTCCATGCTGGCCAGCCCCTGCGAGTCCCACCCCAGTGCACAGCAGCTCTCCAGCATATTGTTTCTATCTGTGCCCAATGTGGACGAGCAGCATGCTTTGAATTAACAGCTTTCCTCCTCCTGATCAACATCAGACGCTGTTTTCGCATTTTCATGTCAACACATTGTCTTTGGTTTAACCTTCCCTCCCGGTCCATTCGCACCGCTGCATGCACGTTCAGCTTCAGGTCGATTCCCATCAGGGCTCACTCCACGTGACCAGAGATAAGATTCTCCAGGATCTGCTCTTTAGATGCCAAACATGAGCCAGGGTGGGCTGTGGCACAGCACAGCTGCTGAGGGATTTGTCCTTTTGGGATGCCTCCAAGAGGTCGGAAAGCAGGAGACATTGCTCCACACATCAGTCACTGGAAAGAGAAACTCGGTATAAAGGAAGTGTGAGACAGGAGTTAGCTGCATGAACTTCACACTGAGTCTGGACATGGAAAGAGGGAATAAGGTAAAGAAAGAAAAGGAGCAGTGAAAACTAGGTCAGAGATACAGGACAGGAAGGTGCAGAAGAACTGCAGAAAATGTATGTGTGTTTGTATATAGTGCCAGCCATAGAGAGCTACAAGGGGAATGGGGAGAGGGGCGTAAATGACTTCAGAAAAGGCTGGTAAAGGATTGAAGCCCAGATTTGGTTTAGAAAGAAACACCAAAGGGGTTGAGAGAATAAGGGAAAGCTGTGGGCCAATACTGGAGAGCTGGTGAGAAATAAAAAAAAATGACAAAAACAACCAACTGGTCAAGTATCTGTCTTGCTATTTGGGATGGTGAAGTCTGTACCAAGACAAACTATGTCAAAGTGGGTAATCTTGTTATATTTTTGTAATGAAGATGAATTCTGTGGAGTGGAGAAATCATCTCTGTACAGTTATTTTAGCCTTGAGGGAACCCCTACTACATGCACAGTGAAACTCAGATTGGCGAGTACCAACAAAGACTTACCATGAATTATTGGTACTTACAAATAAAATAGCTACTAAATCTGATCAGCCTTATGGTAAGGAAAGTGAGTGGAGCCACTTTCAAGGATCTCAGTCCGATCACAGCCATGTTGAACCCCATGACTGTGGAGCCAGAATCCAGCCCACTGAAATTGAAAAACAATGTGCACCTGAAGTAACTCAGTGCTCTGGGCGAAAATACTTACCTTTTTTTGGAAGTGATGCTTGTTTATGCATCCTGTGGCTGCACACAGGGGTAGAAAGTTACTTTCTGAGTGATCAGCAAGCCTGTGGCATGGGCTGGCAGGTCAAGGTAGGCAGCCCAATGCAATGCACACAGAACACACTGGGCCCTGCTGACATCATGGCACCAGTTTGGGGCAAGGCAAAGTGGAGCAGTAGAGGAAAGCAAGGCTAGCCTTAGTAATATCCAACAGTATAAACGCTACTGGCTTTGAACTGCTCAGCCAACAAATTCTCTATGGTAGGCAGTATTTTGTGCCCTATGCTCATGCAGCACCAGGCACAGTCCTACCCAGGGTAGGGATATTGAAGGCCACCTTGCAAAAAATCCCAGTGAGATGAGGATGGTGACAACACTGGTGCTGGTAGTCCCTATGCAGGACATGACAGTCTCCAGCAACTGGTGTTGTTTACTTCCCCACACACAGTGCCTCACTACCTGGTGTATTTTTCAACTAGATTAAAAAACACTTAAATGTATGTCCTGCAGCTGGCCAAAATAGCTGTGACATCCAAAGTCATAAACTACTTCTGTCATTTGTTTGTGTCTTCCTCTTTCTTTCTTTTTTCCTTCTCTTTTCACTAATCTTTGATCTGTCTCTTTTCCTTCTCTGTGACTTCCACATGCATGTATTCTTTTTTTTTTTTTTCCCCTTTCTTTCATCCCTTTTCTCATGTTTGTTCTCTCTACCCTGGCAGTAATGCAAGGCAAAGTGAAATACTGAATAAGCAAAATACTGCTCACACCAAATCCTCGTAATTATCTGTTTGGCCTCCTCCTACTCCCTGCTTCTTCTATTTATGTTGCAAGCTCATCTCTTACTCCTACTGAAAAGTTGTGTGTGTGTGTCTGCGTACCCAGTGCCATTCCAGTATGAACACACAATTGCATCAGCACTGGTTACCTTGGACCATTTCAGAGTCCAAATTGCCCGAGCTTCCCTGTGCTCTTTGAAGTGCACTGAGCATACCAACCATGGGTTCATCCCCCTCAGCGACATTGCTAACTGGGATTTCCCAAATGGGTTTCAAGTTGCCCCATGTGTCTGGTTCCATGTCCCCTGGTCAAGCTTTGATTCTACTAGTCATGCTCTGGGCTCTTGCTGTAGCACTGTGCAACCCTGCTCCTTTAAACCATACACAGGTCCACACTGATGTCTCTATCTGAAGCCCTTTTGCCCTCATAAACACACACTTTCTTGGAGCGCACACACATGCACCCACCACACTCATCCATTCCTGGCTCTGCTACTCAGCCACAACTAAGAGGGCTCTTTGCACTGAAAGTTGGCAGGTTCCCCTGGCCTGCATGATGCAAGTTCAAGGGCCACGGACTTTGGCTGCTTGTCAAACTGTTCTTTCCCACCTCTGCCTTTAGCTAGTATTTGCAGAGTGGCAGCTCCCTGCAGCTGCACGTCTTCTGTTTTGGGCTGGGATGCCCCTTCCCGTGTAAGGACACTGGAACTACCCTTGGCCCACAGCTCCCTGCCTTCCCAGCTCATTCAGGGGGTCCCAGTCGCTTTGAGGGAGCAGTGAGCAATGGATGGGGCTTTTTTAGTAAGACCAGAAACTCAAAAAAAAAACCCCAAATGAGAATTCAGTGAGTATCTCCGGAAATACTACCAGAAACTCAAAAAAAAAAAACCCCAAATGAGGATTCAGTGAGTATCTCCGGGGATACTCACTGTGTACACTATGTGTGTGTATATGGTGGGGGGCAGCCACCCCTATCGATACTGCGTATGCATTTACAAGATGTGTTCAAGTGCTATAGCTCTCCTTCACGTGCCAACCAGGCTGCATTTCCTCACACCCCAGTGTACATCGTGGCTGCAACACCGCGTTGCCACAACTCCTCTCCTTGCAGTGCCGGGCTCCTCGAAACCTCCCGCAGCCCGCTGCTAACCTCTTTTTGGCTGCATCCCCCCTCCATCCAGCCCCTGCCCACAGGGTTTCCCCCATCTCCTCCCGTGTCCAGGAGATGGCACTGTGTCCCCACGGCAGCA